AAAAAAAAAAAAAAAGAAGTGGGTGGCCTCCTGGGGGTTGATCCAAAGAGGAGCGTTACTGGGGCCAGGGTTCCGAGAAGGCTGGCCTGAGGTGGTGAGAGGAGAGGCCGTCCTGCCCTGTGCTCACGGCTCCCCTTCCCCATGCAGCACTACGGCCAGAGCTGCCTGTTCAAAATCGCCATGAACATCCTCAACATGCTTTTCACTGGCCTCTTCACCGTGGAGATGATTCTGAAGCTCATTGCCTTTAAACCCAAGGTAGGCCTCACAGGCTGTAGGATGGGCAGGAAGAGCTGGGAGTGCAGGCACAAAAGAAAGTGGGGGGAAAGGCGTCATGAAGGTCCCCTTCTGCAGGACAAATACCCCAACTCCCACACCTGCCAGAGCTGAACTGGACCATCTCAGCTCAAGGTCTTGGCCCTGCCTGAGATGTGCAGGAAGGAATTTCCTCCCTGAGCTGAGCCCTTCCTTCCAGGCAAGGCAGATGATAATGCCCTCCCCCAGTACAGAACGGGTGCCCACAGCCTCTAAGATCAGACCTCTCTGGCCCACTCCCCAGATGCACTCAGGCCTCTATTCTGCCCTCCACCCCTTCTGTCAGCCACACAGACCAATCTCATGTAACAGCGTCCAAGGCTGCAAATGCCTAGGACTCAGGGCTCCAGCCCATAGGCACCTTCTGCTTGTATACCCTCCTGTGCAGGAGGAGCGGCTACCTGCACATTTCTCAACCCTGCTCCTTATGAGGGAGAAAAGTTTAGACTCATTGGCTAAAAGAGGCAGGGTAGGGAAGGTTGGATTGCCTGTTGCTTTGGATTATCTGTGCCCTTCCTGGCCAGCCCACCCCTGTTGTCCAGGTGTGACCAGCACCTGGCCTCTCTCACAGGTCAGAGTCCCCAGCATCCATATTCACCTGAGATTCACCAGCTATTGGGGAAGCTACTTCTGAGGGAAGCACTCATAGCAACTCAGTGGCCCCAGCTACAATGAGGGGGAGTTCTAAGAAAATTGTGCAGTTATAGACAGAGACTCCAGCTTTCTGAACCTTCCTTTCCCCTCCTTCCATAGTTTTCCCACACTCAGCACAGATCAACAAGAGGCCAAAGGGAAGAATGGCTGGCTATGTCTTCTATTTTTTTTTTTATTTCCTTGCTTATTTTTTATTTTTATTTCTTTGCTTTTTTGTTGTTGTTGAGACAGAGTCCCACCCTATGCTCTGAGCAGAGTACAATGGCACCATAGCTCACTGCAACCTCAGACTTGGGCTGTGGGCATCCAGCTGCCTCAACCTCCAGAAGCCACTGGGATTACAGGCGATCGCCATGGTGCCCGGCTGGATTTTTTTCCATTTTTTTAGGAGTTAGGGTCTCACTCTCATTCAAATCCTTACTTGCCTCAGGATTAATTGGGGATGTAAGAGGGTCCTCCTTAGCCGTCAAATCCATGTTCATTGATAATATACCCACAGCCTCCTGTGAATTAATATCCAACTGACATTGTTGACACTGTGTCACGTGCTGCACACATCATTGCATGTGACCCTCAAAACACTCTGCAAGATAGGTCTGAGCGCCCCCTGGAGGGAAGAGGGAAGTGCCAGGATTAATTACAATGCTAATGAGTGGCAGGCCTGGGCCTAGAATCCAGCACCTCTGACTTTGTAGTTGATGTATTCTCCACCACACTGAGCTGTTAGCAAGCATTTTTCCATGTCAAGTGCTCTTCTGGGCATTTTTCAGAAAGAGGGAAGTAACTGGGAATTAAAAATAAGACAGATAGTATCCTCACCATGCCGATTCTTTCTCTCATTCAGAGCATGCCTAGGGACCCTGGCTAATTTTCAGAGAATGAGGCTCCTGGGGGCATTATTTGGTGCTAAGCCTAGTGCTTTTCTACCTCCTCCAAGCCCAGTCCCATTTAGGGGCACAACTTCTGTCCTGAGGTAGAGGGGACCACTGAATGGCCCTGGCCTCCTTCCTCGGAGCCTGCAGCCTTCTCCCACACAGGCATCCTGAGCCCATAGCCCAGGAGCATGGACAGGTTCACCACTGCAACATGACCGGGTGCAGAGTTCAGGGTCACCGCCGAGCTGAGCTTCAGCCTCAGCTGCCATCCCCTCAGTAGGGAAACTGCATCATTTTCATCTAGTGTTATGAGACATATGGTTAAATATTTCAAAGCCCTGAGTCATCCCACAGTTGACTCAGATGTGTTTCTGGTGATGTCTGAAGCAGGCTGTACAGCCCTGCAGTGGACTTTCTGAATCGTGTCCCATAAGCACAGGAGAAATATTGGGCAGCCTGCCCTGGGAAGCACAGGAAGGTGACATCTGCAGGAACATCCACCTGAAAGACACTCTTCCTAAATCCTGGAAGTCAGGGAAGGATCCAGTTTTCTAGAAGTGACCAACTAGGGTGGCCTAAACCCGTGAAGTGCCTCCTACTTGCCTCAATATCCTGGTTTTTCTTATTGTGAGAAGATGGGACAAAGTAAGAGAGACTTTTCCCAAAGAAGGAAGAGAGCCATCCTGGGCCACCTGCATTTCACTCAGGCCAGAGTGGACCTGTGCTGTAAAGAGAGAGGAAAATGAGCCCCTGTGAACTCCTCTAAAGGGGATTCTGGTGAGGAAGGGCTAAAGGCCACAACCCAGTTGGGGGAGCACAGAACAGAGCCAGGTTCCCTGGGTTCTCACTAAGCTGTGTTTTCTTCCATCACAAATAGACTCTGGGAAAAGCATCCCCAAAATCATCAGGCAGAAAACCAACAGCTTCTAACAGTGACCCGAAATCTGCAACCACTTCCCTGTCTCGCCGCTAACCAGGACACTGTGCCACACTTTGCATGTCACTGGCGTGACTTGTATACGCATGTATGACACAGAGGAGTATGTGTTTCCATGCATCTGCTGTGCAAGGACAGTTAGGCGGCAAGGAGGTCACAGAAGGGCTTTAATTACAGCCAAGGAGCAGTTATCTGAAATTGTTCCTGCTTGAGTTTCCTCTCCACCCTTTGTTCTGTGTGACCCGGTGGTGATGTATCAGCCAGGGTGTCAGTTTGCTTCATTCTTTCATCGTCTTCACCATGATGGCTATTCCCAGTCTCTTCATTTCCATCCATTCTCCTCACTACCTCGTGGAAAGTGGACTTGCTCAAATAAGTCCCTGCCCTAATCCAACTGCCCCCTTCCTAAGTTCACACTCTGTTCACAGAAAACTTCACACAAACACTAGGGAAATTCAGTCCCCCACAAAACCTCAGGACTCTGCGGGGATGGCCTAAGAGAGTGGGATCGATGATAGTAGTATTGATTTTAACACCTAATGCCAAACCAGAGGAAGGAGGCTCCTTCCCTGGAAGTAAGACATAACTCCTGGAGGAACCGGAGGGTCCCCAGTCCTGAGTAATTGTGCAGGACCTGGTTGGCCAGCAGGAAGAGTTTTGGTTGGAATGGTCTGAAGGCAACTAAGGGGCTGGGTTTTCCTCCTATTATGAATTGAATTTTACCAGCAAAAACAGGAAAGTAAACTTTTAAGATGACCGCTAAAGATATGATAAGCACTGAAAAATATCCGATGCCTAGGTATAAAGCCAACAAAAAATGGCTAAGACCTCTATAAAGAAAACTGTAACATTTTAGAGAAAAGAATCAAAGACAAGCTAACAACTGGAGAGAGAGATCAGTGTCCATGAGTGAGAAAACTCAATGCTCCAAGGAGCACTTGGGGGACACCCCGAGAGGGTGGTGAAGAAGGTGTCATTTCTCCTCTAACTGACCTATAGACTCTGTAATTCCCTGGCCATGCCCATGCAGCTGTCCTTTAGGGCAAACAGTGTGAGCAGGAGTGGCCCCCAGGCTTTGGTCATGCTGGTGTCACCCTAGAAGGAGAGTGTAGGAGCTCGGGGCAGGAAGCAGTGGCAGTCGCAGCTACTCCGCTGTCAGTGCAGGTTGTGATACCAGCAGGAGTGATGGTGTCACTGGCTGCCTGGGATGTGCTGTTAACACTGCCTTAGCAAAGATGTTTGGGCCAGGAAGGGCCATATGCAGGGCTGCAAGTGTCCCCTCAACCTGGGTCTTTCTGCCCAGGAAGGCAGGGCTTGCCCAGTAGGTGGTACCTGCTGATGCCAGTCCCCATAGGCCTGGAGGGGTGAAGCAGCAGGGCCCTACCGCCCACTCCCTGGAGGGAGTAGCAGTACTCACTCACTGGCACCTCCCTGAACACCCAAGAGATTGCGACCCTGGCAGCCCTCTGTGATCAAAGCCTTGGCCTCCTATTGTCTTTCTTCCAGCCTGAGAAGGATCTGCAGTGAAAACAGTTGTTGTGGCCCTCCTGGCCCAGCTTTCATGGTAAAAGTGACTGAAGCCTCGGGGTTCACTGTCATGCTGCCAGACAAATTAGGACCCAAAGGCATTTCAAACCTCAGGGCTGGAGGAAGCCTCTAAGCCAGCACTAAGAGAGCATCTGCAGTAATTAAAATGTTCCATGCGTGCTGTGGA